TTGCACAACTCTGAACGAAATAAACGTTACTGAAACAAACTAAAGAGAAATCTCTGTCAACAAAAATTACTTACCAAAGAGATCGCCGATATCATTGACGAAAACTTCGTTCGTAACATTCAACGGTTCCTTATTCTCTTGCACAGCCTCCGCTTCAGTTTCCATTGCCTCGTTTTCCTCCCACACATCGTCATCAGATTCGCTACTAGATGACACATATTCAGCCGAGTGACGCTTCTGGTTTGCTTTTTCGCTTCTAAGTTGTAGTTGGTTGCGCTTTGGCATTGTAACTAACAAAGTGCTAGTAAAAGATTATGACTTATCTGAAACTTGAAGACAATGTGATAGGTTTCACTGTTTTTCAGTAAGATGTTACACGCGAGATCTTTTTTTTTCTGCAAACAACGTGAAGTGCCTGTTGCATCAACCTTGGCCTCCCAGAAACTCAAAAAAAAAGTTTAAAAATTAAAAATAGCATACAGTTGAAAAAAGCACTGTTTGGGTTTTTCTTGATTTTTAGTAAAAATGCTATTTCTCAACGAAAAAAATTTTTTTCCCAAAACCCCTCCTTACGGCTATAGCTGGAGTATAGCTACTTTCTATAAAAAGTTATGAGTGTTTTTCGAAAGGTCAAGAATTTTCGAAGTTTTTGTTATGGATAAATTACAAGAAAAACTACTGTGTGGTGGTAAGTGTTGACGCTGTGAGCTTTTTATATATTGTAGAGGATGGATCAACGGTGAAAGGCAAAACTCAGGTGAAGTTCAAAGTCCATATATGCTTAAATAAGGCAATGATCGAGTAAAACCTCTCTGAGTTAGATACGTAAAAGAGAACAAGCCTTCCAAAGAAGGTGGTAGAAATTGGATCGTAGTAATTAGAGTTTCGTCTTTACCTTTTTATTTATACAGAACAAATAATTAAAAAAAATTATTTTTCTTTCTCTGACTAAATGGCGTCGGACAAAAACTAACAATAATTATCTAGGTCCAAAACAGATTTTTCTTCCACTTGTGCAACTTATGGCGCCGAATCTGGACCATTATTCGACAGAAAAATGTGTATTGATCAATCTTCAATGTCGGGGGAAATAAAAACAAAATTCCCAGGATAAACACAATATGTCTATCCACATAAAAAGAAAACAAAATGATGGAAGAAGCACTTATACTAACAAAAACAACGATTGCAAATGACTCAATAGATGATCCAACATTGAACAGTATATTCGTGATTAAACTTTAAATGTTGACAACCAAAACTGACTCATTTCAATTGTAATTGATTTCAGTTCAAGTAAATAATAATTTTTCATACAATTGTGCCATTTTTAGATCATTACTTAAATGATAATCAATTGTTCGAACAGTTTCATGATTTCGTTTTATACCATGGTTAATTTTTTTCTAATAAATAATTTGTTAACTTAACTATTGAATATAAATACGGGATGTTCTGATATTGTCCAAAACGCTTTAGGATAAATTTTGTTAATGGATAAGTTGTTTCACTGTGTCTGAAAACTTAATGAAAAATTTCATTCGTTAGATTTATTATTGAAACTCTTGGTTGATTCCCTTTTCTTCAGTTCTGATTTGTCTTTTTATTCGAAATGGAATACATCTTTCCGACAGATTGATGACAATGAATGTGTTTACTTATATTGAAAAGCTTACTGTTAGTTAGAATTTTATTTCTGATAAGTCCCGATATTGGACAACTCTATTTTTCTCTATAATACTTCTGGAAAATGTAAATATGATCTGTGGAAGTTTAAAAGCTTTTTTAAGATGAAAAGAAACGTTTGTCGATGAGTTAGATTGAAAAGTATAAAAATAAAAGGAAGCATTTTGGAGAGATAGTTCAATCACAACTTTCTCTTAACTCCTCAAGATCT